TGCTTGCTTGCTTGCTTGCTTGCTTGCTTGCTTGCATTTCCTGCCCCGCCCAGCCCTCCCCATCTGATGCCTAAAGCTCTAGGCACTTAAGTTCTCAAGAGCACGTGACCTCCACTGGCCCACGCTGCTTTGCCCTTTACTAACTGGTCACCTGGTGAACGGCTCTCCTTTCAAGTGCCTTCAGGTTGAAGGCATTTCTGGCTCCCCCAAGAGGCCTTTTGGCTCTGCTCATGCTGCTCTGACCCTTCTCTTCACACCTGTGGCCCCTCCACTCTCTGCCCCGCCTCCGTGATCTCACTATTAGGGAGTCCCCTGGGTACCGCACCTCACTCTCTTTCCCTCACTTCTCCGAAACTTAGATGAAGGCTCTCCGTACCAAAGCCCGTATGAAATTTCTTATCTGGATCAGTTGTTCCAATACTCAAATTTCCTTTATAGAAATAATGAATGCTCCCACAAATGCTGGCACTATATTTTGCAAAACAAAAATCAGAAAGCCCTTTCCTGTATGCTTGGACAAAGTAAGTAAGCTTGAATCAGCTGCGACAAGTATTTTTGGAAAGCTGTCTTCTCTCCAAGAAGGTGTTCTTAGATGTAAGACAATGAATGAAACAACAAAAGAAAACCCCCCTTTCTGTGCTGATTTCTTCCGACGGAGAACTGAGCCCCGGGAGGGAGCTCCAAGAGACAACAGGTGACTGTGAGAGGGGTCCTTGCTAAGGGGGGGCTCCGGGCCAGCCCTGGTGCTGCCATCGAAGTCACACATGGCAAAGACACTCTTGGGGGAGCCTGGCCTGGAATCGGGGACCCCACGTGTGTCCACTTCTGAGCTGGAGACTTCCAAAGGAGGGGGAGGCTCACCGGATGTCAGAGGAAGCAAGGCACAAAGAGACTTGTGCAGTGTGCTTGGGGAGAGCTTGATGGTACCCTCAGTAGCCCCTCAATCCCCTCGTGCTCCTTGGAGCTCAGGAAGAAGAATCTCAGGGGCTCCATACAAAGGAGCACGGGGCTGGAAGGGGAGTCCCAGCCCCGGCTAGCCCCTGCAGAGGACCTCGGCAGCTGAGAAGGGTGAGGGTGTCAACCACTATTAGGCACCAAAAGCAGACACAGCTGCTCCTCTGAGCAGAGCAGGGTGAGCCGAGAGCCGGAGAAACCCACACGGGTCATCGACGAGAGGATGAGAAACCCACCCATGTCATCTACAGGAGGATGACCACATTGAAGACCACCGATCGCAGACCAGGCATCTCTCCCTGCTTTCCCTCCCCCTTGACCCAGTACCCCACCATGCTACAGGAAGGGGAAGGGGCGTGTAGCTTGCATTATGGTTCCAACTGTTAGCCTCCCCTCCCTGCGAGGACAGTGTGCGGTGTTGGCCCTGCCACGTGATTCTCCTTGATGGATGAATGCCAGCGGAAGGGACGGCCTCAACCTTCTAAAAGAAGCTTTACCACGCGTTCCTTTGTGCCGAGAGCAGGAATTTCCCGGAGCGAGGCTCCTCCTTTCGCGGAGGTCCCGGATGGATAGAGGCACGAGGAAGAAATAAAGCTTTGCTACTGGGAGCCACTGAGAGGCTGAGGCTGGGTGTCACTAGGGAGACCAACTCTTCTGGTTTGCCTCAGATCTTCCCACCTTAGCACCGCAAGTCCTGCCTCCCAGAAAACCCGTGTCCCCCACAAACCAGGACAGTTGGTCACCTAGTTCCTACCGCTGCATCTCTCACCCATCCGAAGCAGACCGACACAGGCAGGATGAAGGAAGCACAGACGGGATCCTGGAGCCACTGACGGATCCCCTGATCTGGGAGGAGGGAAGGGACAGGGATGTTCACACTGGACTAGTTTCATCTTCACAATAACCCATCCGTTAATTGTGGTCATTATCCCCATTTTCCAGGCGAGGATGGAGGAGGCAAAGCTAACTTGCTTAAGATAACGCAGCTGGCAGGTGGGGACGGAAGCCCAAGTGTGCCCGGCTCCGTGCTGGGTCTTCTGACTACCACACCACTGCCAGTCCCGTCTCCAAAACCACCCCCAGCCCCAATCCAAGCATTCCTGGAGCAGGCATGAGGGGAAGTAAGAAAAGGCAATCCTAGTTCAAGACAGCTACAGAACCTGAACCAACAGGTTTGTCTCTGGGCTTCCTGGCAGCCAGGGCAGAGAAGGAAACGTCCAGCCCTCACACTGGCTGGGAAGTGTATCCTCCGGACAGACTGACCAGGGAGGGGTATCTGTCAGGGAGGTTTATGGGACCTGAGCAATGCCGGGCCTAAGGGCTCTGAGGCAACAAGCTTTGTGAAAGAAGAGAGTGCTTCCCCCTTTTAAAATGGGACCTCAGTGAACACCTGCCCCGGCCTGCCCCTACCCTCAGGTGTGACAGCTGACGGTGCTCCGTTAAGCCACGTTGTGAATCCCCAGTATGTCACTAGGGTGGCAGTGTTTGATGGCGTGGCTTAATAAGAGGGCGTGGCTTAGGAAAATATGGACGCTAGGGAATCGGCATCCTCGATTACCCTACTAGCTATATGCTTACTGATTTGCTTCCTCAAAACCCCAAGCCTTCCAGTAAGGGCCCCTGCATGGCCATCTCTGTATCCCACAACCTTCAGGGGCCTGCCCTGGGCATAGAGGTGTTCCAGAAGTATTTTCCCTCCCTGCCTACACCCCCCCCCCAACCCTAGAGGGCCATGGCAGGTGGCCCTTGTTCCCATCCTCCACGTTCTCCACGATGTGGTGCTGGGGCCTGGCTCCAAGTTTACTGAGGGAATGGATGAGGAGCTGCTCTAGTCCGCTCAGGTGGTGGTGGTCTCTGAGCAGAGGCAAGAGGCTGGAGGGGCTCTGTCTCCTCTGCAAGTCCCTGGTCCCTCCATGGTCCCTATGACAGCCTGTGGGGAGTTCAGTTGCCTTGCTTTGCAACAGATGCATTTAGAGAATGTTCGTTCAGTAAGGCCAGGTGCTTTGAGCCTAAGGTAACAGGTGTTTGCATCGGGGTCATTCAGCGAGGATTTGTCTAGCCCCTAGGGCACCGGCGACACAGAGAGGAATCAGCAGTCTTAATGTTCAAGATCCCCTCAATCGAGTTGGAGAGACAGGATCTAAATAAAGACATGACCGCATGCTCGCTGCAAGGGGCGGAGCCAGGCTTACACTTGCACAAACAGCACAAGTCCGGGATGTGCCTCTGCCGTGGTAAGTGACAGAGATCTGCGGAGCCGTTATGACAAACTTCCAGCAGGTGGCAGTCAAGTGTCTTGAGGAAGGAGGGCCTTTCTTCCCTAGCTGTGAGGCAAACGTAAGGGACAGGAGCAGAATGGAGGAGGAAAGACAGCTTAGGGGCTGGTGTGTGTGCGTGTGCGTGTGCGTGTGCGTGTGTGTGTGTGTGTGTGTGTGTGTTGTCGTCGGTGAGGGAAGGAGAAGGAACCAGGGTGGCGGT